GCTTTTTCATTCTAAATGATATCAAGATAAACAGAGCAAAATCAGAAGCAATAGCTTGAAGACCTCATAAAAAAGAAAAAGAGGAGGAATACATTCAAATCGGAACACCACCAAGCCTAGTCAAAGTTAAAGGATCAGAAGAAAATACAAGGTTTCTTGGTGTTTGGATTAGTTTAAAGAAACAAGAGAGAACAAGTATCCTATGATGCAAAAAAGAAGTAGGAAAGTTAACATGTATATTAAGGTACAAAAAACTCTCAGCAGCTCAAATAATATATATAAACAATATGATATTGCTTCCAAAGCTCAAGTATTTGCTGGCAAATATATGTCTCAAGAAAAGATCATATGTTACTATACACCAGCCTATGCTTAGACTAATAAAATGGAAATTAGAACTTCTATCTACATGCGCAAATGCAACTCTCTAGCATAAAGAAATATTTGGAGTAGTAAGCTTATAGCAAAAACACATAGAGCATCACATATCAGAGCTCTTTATAAGAATAAATACAGATAACATCATAGGCATAACTACTCTAATGAGGCTGAAGCAGTCACAACTAGATACAAACATGCCAGAATGTATTCTCATTGCAGAAAATATAAACTGGAAAAAAACTAAGCATAGAAACCTAGGAGCTTCAATATTGCAACATGCAAAAAAGTTTAGTATAAATATCACAAAAAATGAATTTACAGAGAGTTGGAACTTCGTAAAGTTGTAGGACAAAAAAAGTTGTTACATTAATAGCATCCTTAATAAATGCAACATAAAAGAAGTACAAGAAGGTATAACTAAACTTAACTTATAGCACATAAACTAGCTGTTAGACAATGATAAGGAAAAAATGATTACTTGGAAACAACTCAAAGTAAGAGAGGGAAAGAGATATATCAGAAGAAAAGCAAAGTAGTTTTAAGCTCTAGAGAATGAAATTATAGCAGATAAAAGTTCAAGGGAAGTAACTGAAGAATACCAGAAAAGAGAAGGATTTCAAGTACAAGAAATTGAAAAGAGAATCTTATAAAACAAGAAAAAAAAAGAATGAGTACTTATAAGAGGTAAAGAAAACGAGAAAAATGAAATTAGTCATATTATCAGGAAAGAAAAGAAAATGGTAGAAGTAGAGATGTGGGAAGAAGACTAAGAAAACTCATGTAAAGAATTTTGTTAACAAGAAGCATACAACGAAGGAATCAAACTTAAAAAAAAAAAAAATAGCCAAAGACAAAGGATAATACTACAAGAAGTTTGCAATATCTCAAGCTTGATATAAAAGAAAGATAATGCACTAGAGGTAGTATTCAACAAAAAGTATCTGAAAAAGATAGAGAAAAAGAATCAAAAAAGCAAAGTAGAAGACTTTAAAAAGTTCAAGAATCTGGAGCATATAGAAGTAGAAAGTAGCTGGGAAGCAGAACTAATTAACCAAGTCATTTAAAATACAAGAATTAGAGAAGAACTAAAGGCTAGACTAGAGGCGAATAGAGAAATAGAAGAAATAGTATTCTATACAGATGGCTCATTCGGGGAAGAAGATACTAAGAGAAAAATAAAGATGAAATTTAGTGTAGTCCAAATAGATAGCACAAATAATATAGTTTTTAGTTACAAAAGAAGGATAGAAAATTAGTTCTTATCTACTTGAGTAGAACTAGTAGCTTGTCTAGTAGCAGTTTTGTTAGTCTCTAATAGTTGCAAAGTAGAAATAAGGACAGATAGCATGTATGCAATCTTCGCGATAAAGAACTGCTTAAAGAATAAGAAAACATATGAGTGATTAAAATCAAAGAACAATAATATTCTATGTATAATTAAGAAAGTCTGCAAAAGTAAATTAGTCCAGTTAATATTCACAAAAGTTAAAAGCTATTCAAAGGATACTTATAACGATGCTGCAGATATATTAGCAAAAGAAGGAATATACAAAACACATAGTATAGAACTGAGCAATATCAGTAACAATAATATAAGGTATATTTCTGAATAGAAAAAAATAAGTTTGGAGACTCCAATAAGAGTCTTCATTAAAAAGGCAGTTCAAATGATATACAAAGCAGAATAGATATGGTTAAGAAAGAAAAATAATGAAGAACACTAAACAAGAATTCAGAAACAGAATTGGAAAGCTTTTAAGAGTATACTTAGAAGTTGCAGTAAGCAATACCAGAATTCTGAAGTAAACTACTTGCGATTGTTCAAAACCAAATGCATTAAAAATCTTCTTCTAACTGTTGAAATCTTAAATCGTAGAAGACTTCAACTATACAAAAACAGCTTATACAAAAGATGTTTTAAGAAAAAAGAAATAATTGGGCACTTAATTACTTGTAAAAAATCTAATCAAGTGCTAGAGAAAATCGAAGAAGAAGCATAGAAACAGCTCTATGAAGATAAAAGAAAAGAAGAAAATTGGAACTTATCGAGTATACAACAAGCTATCCAATATGAACAGGAAAAGAAACAACAACAGAAAAAAGGATAGATAAGAGATATCCTTAGTGAAGAAAATATAGAAAAGATCAAAAATATTGTTAGCTCTGAAAGCATGATGATAAAATTTTGAAGCCTGTTCTGATATATATGAATAGAATTAATCTATAAGGAAGTTTGGAGGAGCCGATGCAAAGACATGGAAGCATGAGAGAAAAAAGAAAAGATCTCAAAAAAAAAAAAGTTCTCTCAGAAGGAAAAAAGAAAAATGATCTAAAGAAAAAGACTGAAGGGAGAAAAACAAAACATAATGTAGATGTGAATATAGAAAATTATAATATTAGCCTAAAAATAGTATTAGATAGCATAGCTAGGGAAGTAAAGAAGGGAATTTCAGATAGTTGGGTTTTAAGTTAGTCATAATGGGCTGTAGTGTCCTTCTTATACTAAGCTGTAGTTTATAAATTATAAATTACTCGAGTATAAGTCAAAGGTTACTATAGCAGATCACACATAGGTATCGTTAGGATAACTGAGTGAGTCAGGGCTTAAAAAATTAGATATTAGATAGTATAAAACTTGATAATGTAGTTTTCTTAATAAAAAACAAACCTAAATAAAGTCACGGCATGACTGCTGAATTGTAAAAAAAAATATTAAAACAATCTATATTAGCTGATTTATAAAATTGTTAATAACTTTTGATCTATTGATTTATTTAAAATAATTTAACTACAAGTTCTAGTGATCTTAGTATAGTGGTTAGGTTACCAGACTATTATGCAAGAGGTCTGGGATTTAAATCTTATTGTCAATGAATTTGAATAATTACTTGGATTTTTGTACTCAACTTATAGTAAACTCTGTTTGTTTCTAAGGTTGTAACCCTGTAAATCTTGTTATACTAATATTACCTAGATATTGAAAGTATGACAAGGTATTCAGTGAGATGTAATATTACATAAATAAATCTTGATAGGATCTATAGGCAGAAGATCTGCATAGTAAAAATCCTGAGTTAGTGAAGTAGTATAGCTTTCGATAGTTACACTAGCTAACTCTTGATTCAAAAAGAAAACTATTGTCAAAAGATGCAGATTGAGTCAAGTATACATAAATCCATTCTACAAGAAGAATCAGTAATACCAACTTGGCTTAGTAGCTAACTGAATTAGAAAGATCTGCCTTGTAAAACATCTAAGAAGATAGAATACAAAAAACTGGTGAAGAGCTACAGTAGAAACTTGAGTTATACGAACATCTACAAGAGTCTAAGCTAAGTAAATCCATAAAATAAGTATGAACTACTCTAGTAGGTATACTTCAAGTTTAACTAACTTTACGATAACTATAATGCATTAGATACAATATATCCTAAGAAAACCTAAGCTGTTCTAGATAAATAGATCTGTAACGAGCTAGCTAGCTTAAGTAGTTAGATGTTACAATAACGTTAGATTAGATCTGTATGAGTTAATGAACAGAATATTTAAATAGATAACTCACAGACGAGTTACAGGTATGACAGCATAGTGTAGAACCAATCAGATAGTCTAATTGCCTGTGCAGCGAACTACTTAAAATAGACAATAACTAAAGTTATACTAGTGGCTTGTTGTACACTCTTTATGTAATTACAAACAGTAGGAATTATCAATGTATATATCTTGTATACAATTCTAATAAAATTCCTTCGGCAATATAAGCCACCTTAATAACAAAAAAAAAAATAAAATAAAATAATTTAACTACCAAAATATTTGTCTTAATAAAATAATTAAAATAAGTTTAAAATCATCAAAATAAAATTACTAGTTTTTAATATTTTTTAAATTTTATACAATTTTAATTAGAATTTTACTATATAGATAGTTAACTTAGAAATAAGTTGTTTATATAAATTTATACTAATAACTTATTTCTAAATTAATTATCTACATAATAAAATTCTGATTAAAATTACATAAAATTTGAAAAATATCCGAATCTAGTAATTGAATTTTGATAATTTTAAATTTATTTTAATCATTTCATTAAGACAAATATTTTGTTAACTAAATTGTTTTAAATAAATCAATAGATTAAAAGTTATTAACAACTCTATAAATCAGCATATATGCTATAAATTAATATATTAAAAAAAATTTTTTTTTAAATATAAATATAAATTGGATTCTGGAATATTTAGTAACAATACTTATTTTTTCTTAAGAACATTTATTGTTTATATAACAGATAAGTGTTAATTACGTATCAATGAGACTTAGAACCAAGAGCATTGCCAAAGATTCAATTTATTAGCTAATTAAAATTTGATCGAATTTAATCCAACGAAAAATAACTATTTTAAAATGCTTTTGCAAAAATTTTTTTAATAATTTAATATACATGTAAAGCTACAAAAACTCTATAATACAATGATAAGTGTAACGTACACAATTAATATTTATTAGTTAAAACATAGCTACAGCAAGAAAAATCAACTTTTGTTTACATCATACCCTAACATTTAACTAATATTTCAAACAATTTTAATTTTATTTTTCAGCAACTAAATCTTTTATTATCCAAGACGTTTTTCTTTTTCTTCTCTAATTAATTGAATTAATGCCGGTTCAATGTCATCATTAGTAACTTTCCACTTGTTACAGAATTCTTTAGCCAAAACCGCAGGATTATCATTCACGTAAACAACAATGGCTTGAGGAGGCTCGTCTTCAGAGAGCTCCACATTTATAGTGAGAAGGTGATAACCGCGATCGAAGCGTTTTGGAGATAGTGGAGTTGGAACAAGAGGGGGTGGAAGAGGATGTGAAATAGGTTCATCATCAAGTAATACCGATGCCGATTCATATTCTACATCTTTTTCAGAGTAACTTTCGTCCTCTTCGTAATACACGTTATTTTCGTCATCAAAATCGCTGTTTTGTTCATAATCTTCTTGGTCATCATTACTTTCTCGCTCATATTCAGGTGGTTCGTCTATGTAACCATTTGAATAAGCACGAGCAGGTGAATAAGCACGAGCAGGTGAATAACCGCGAGCAGGTGAATATCCGCGAGCAGGTGAATATCCGCGGGAAGGTGAATATCCGCGAGCAGGTGAAGGTGAAGATTGTTTTCGATACGGGGTCGAAT